AAAAAAAGAAAAAAAGGAAAGGAGGGAGGAGTGGGAGAGAGGAGGAGAGAGGGAGAAAGTGAGCTCACGTTCACACATTGGTGAAGAGGCTGGTCTTGCAATGCCTTTGAATATTTTACTTTTAGGCAGTTCCTCACCAGTCAGCCACACACATCCGAGGCGAGCTGAAGCTAACTACAGCCATGGACAGCACTAGGAGATCTCACATCTAATCGCACGCATCATTCCTCCGGGATATTTTTTTTAAATTCCATATCTAAACACGCCGACAGGCAGCTGCACTCGCACACACTCGCGCACACACACACACACACACACACACACACACACATCCACACGTCGCAGAGCCGCCGAGCAAACACCTTGTCTCCTCTCGCAGGATATACCCGCTCACACACATCTCTCTTTATCTCCTCCTGGCTTCCCGGAGGATCCTGCCGGCTGTTTTTCATGGAGAAAGTCCAGGGAGAAATGGAGATTGAGAGATGGGAAAGAAGTGAAGAAATTTCGGACGCAGAAAAAAAGGTTATTCAAGAGATATGGAGCAGAGTATATGCAAACTGCGAGGACGTTGGGGTCTCCATACTCATCAGGTATTTAAAAACAAACCAAAAAAAAAAAAAAAAAAAAAAAAAAAAAAAAAAAAAAAAAAAAAAAAAAAAAAAAAAAAAAAAAAAAAAAAGGAAGCAGCAAATCCAACTGAATCTCTATATAGCTCAGAAAGAGGCAGAACAATATATAGAACTGAGTGGAGATGAATGACAGCGAGTGGGGAGCTGGCTGGGTGTATTTGCTGCCTGGGAGCAGGGAGGGATTCGCAGAGCTCCCCGGATTCCCACACCTTTGAGCCGGGTGGCAGTGGCAGGGGGAGCCAGGGGAGCCTTGGGGACTTTGGGGACCGTGCAGGGGTCACCTTAACCTGCGGCCGGGGCCGGGGGGCGGCGGAGGCGGGCTGGGCTGGGCTGGGGGTCCGGGCTTGGTGGCCCCGCAGGGAGCGGTGGCACGGGGCCGTAGCAGGCTGGCTGGCGGGTGAAATAATGCAAGTTGGGAGCCAAGATAAAACCCAAGCAGGTGTGTCTCCCAGGGCACCATCTGTCCCTCCGGCGGCAGCGTCGGCGGGAAGGAGAGCGCTGAAGTTGGTGGTGGAAAGGGGCTGTGGGGGGCACGGGTGGGAGAGGGGGAAGGGGGGATAAGCAGCCCTGGAGGGGGGTGTGGAGCATCTCCCGATGGCAGCGGGGTACAGGCAGCAGCTCAAAGCTCTGCACCTGCAGCCGGAGCAGGGGAGATGCTCTGGAGGAGGGGAGTAGAGGTAGGTGGGGGTTCTTGTGTTGTATGGGGGTAAAACCATGTCCAGGTACACCGGGAAAGAGCCAAGTGGAAATCCCACAGGGTCCCAGTGGCACTGGGAGTTTGGGGTTTCAGTGGGGTAGGGCACCAACAGGCCGTTTCCCTTATTGAAGAGGGCAAAGAGAGGGGGAGATGCCTGCAATGGCAATGGGCAAAGAGCAAAGATCCTGTCCAGAGCCCCACCACTCCTGCCTGGGGTCAGGAATGCTGGGGTGTCCCTGGTCAGACCCCACCTGGACCAAACACCAGGCACCCCAGGTATGGGTTGTGTCCTCCCTGTTTTCCCCTGCACCAGGGGACTGTGGGTGTGCAGGGAACCCCTTGGAAGGGTGTGCTGCTCACTAATAATCGTCTGAAAGTTTTCCAATTGACTGAGCTAAAGCCCTGAGCCCACGGGGTCTGCAGGGAGCAGAGCCTCCCTGGACATCACAATGAGCAGAGCCAGTTCCCCTCCAGGCTCTCTGCCAGCACTGCAATGGGATTTTCTTACCAAGACCCCTCTGCAGGTTCCAAAATGACATTGGAGCCCCCTCTCCACCTCCTTCACAAAACATTTCCTTCTCTCAGAGCCAGCTGATGGCTGGGCCCGTTCTCCCATGGCCCCCACTCAGTGCAGGCAGTCAGGGCAGTCAGGAGGTGTGACAGCTCCGTGGCTAGGGACACCAAACCTACCTAGGCTGGGTCTGAAGCAGGAATGGCAGAGATCTGGGGGTTGCAAGACTCCCCTCAGCCCCATCCCACGAGGTTCAGCTCATGGCTTGGCCACCAGCCATGCATGGCCAGTGCCTGGGTCATGCCATGGCCCCATCTGCCAGCATTTGCAGGTGCCCACTGTCCACAGACACAGGGAGGGTGGCTGTGTGCCCATGGCTGGCACTGAGAGACTTGTAGCAATGCCATGGGGGTTTCCCCCAGGGCAACTCATTGCTTTTTGAGTCCCCATGGTGTTTGGAGCAGGGTTGAGCATAAAGAGAATCAAGGTGTGGCGTGGGGACCAGGTGGCCGAGCTCTGGTCCCAAGTCAAACTTTCCCAGCAGAAGTTTTTGCTCCAGTTTTGGGTTTTTTTGTTTTTTTTTAATCTGGGCAGAGTTGTGCATTGTGGTGAAGGTTTTCTCCTGCTGTGACAACAGAGCAGGACAGAGCTGCCTGTTAGGGTGAACCTTGGCTCTTTGGGAGCATTTACATCCTCAGTCATGGCACATGCCCTGGTTCATCCCAGCTAAACCCACCACTGCTCCCCCACCAGAGCTTCCCTGGGGTGCTTAAAGTGAGGTCTGGCTTTGTGCATGTCCCTGGGGACAGTGATGCCATTTGGGAGAGGACCCATCCCCCTGGAGCAGCAGATCTGCCCTCACCCGCCTGGCACGGCTGGTTTGTGTCCCCCTGGTCACAAACGCTGTCCCCACAGAGGAATTTGAGCTGTGAGCTCTGAGCTGCACCTGAGCTCCCCGGGGAAGCACGTGGCGGCCGAAAGCAGGGCAGCCCTGGCCGGGCTGGCAGTGCCCCAGCTGTGCTCACAGCTGGCAGAGCACGGGAGAAGTGGGTCACGCGTGGAGCCCGCCGGGAGCCGCCTCCCAAGACGTGATTCAGCAGCTCCAGAGGCCGGGGCTGGGGAGGGGGCAGTGGTGGGGTGGGTGAGAGGTGACCCCCCCTCCCCAGCACATTTTGGGTGGGCACACATACAGTGTGCAGCAGGCTGGGAGCTGCCCCGTTCAGCCTCTGTTTCACCAGTGCCAGCCTGGTGTTCCTGCTCACCTCGCTAGGGAAACTGAGGCAGGAGGGGTTTGCACANACGGGTGGGAGAGGGGGAAGGGGGGATAAGCAGCCCTGGAGGGGGGTGTGGAGCATCTCCCGATGGCAGCGGGGTACAGGCAGCAGCTCAAAGCTCTGCACCTGCAGCCGGAGCAGGGGAGATGCTCTGGAGGAGGGGAGTAGAGGTAGGTGGGGGTTCTTGTGTTGTATGGGGGTAAAACCATGTCCAGGTACACCGGGAAAGAGCCAAGTGGAAATCCCACAGGGTCCCAGTGGCACTGGGAGTTTGGGGTTTCAGTGGGGTAGGGCACCAACAGGCCGTTTCCCTTATTGAAGAGGGCAAAGAGAGGGGGAGATGCCTGCAATGGCAATGGGCAAAGAGCAAAGATCCTGTCCAGAGCCCCACCACTCCTGCCTGGGGTCAGGAATGCTGGGGTGTCCCTGGTCAGACCCCACCTGGACCAAACACCAGGCACCCCAGGTATGGGTTGTGTCCTCCCTGTTTTCCCCTGCACCAGGGGACTGTGGGTGTGCAGGGAACCCCTTGGAAGGGTGTGCTGCTCACTAATAATCGTCTGAAAGTTTTCCAATTGACTGAGCTAAAGCCCTGAGCCCACGGGGTCTGCAGGGAGCAGAGCCTCCCTGGACATCACAATGAGCAGAGCCAGTTCCCCTCCAGGCTCTCTGCCAGCACTGCAATGGGATTTTCTTACCAAGACCCCTCTGCAGGTTCCAAAATGACATTGGAGCCCCCTCTCCACCTCCTTCACAAAACATTTCCTTCTCTCAGAGCCAGCTGATGGCTGGGCCCGTTCTCCCATGGCCCCCACTCAGTGCAGGCAGTCAGGGCAGTCAGGAGGTGTGACAGCTCCGTGGCTAGGGACACCAAACCTACCTAGGCTGGGTCTGAAGCAGGAATGGCAGAGATCTGGGGGTTGCAAGACTCCCCTCAGCCCCATCCCACGAGGTTCAGCTCATGGCTTGGCCACCAGCCATGCATGGCCAGTGCCTGGGTCATGCCATGGCCCCATCTGCCAGCATTTGCAGGTGCCCACTGTCCACAGACACAGGGAGGGTGGCTGTGTGCCCATGGCTGGCACTGAGAGACTTGTAGCAATGCCATGGGGGTTTCCCCCAGGGCAACTCATTGCTTTTTGAGTCCCCATGGTGTTTGGAGCAGGGTTGAGCATAAAGAGAATCAAGGTGTGGCGTGGGGACCAGGTGGCCGAGCTCTGGTCCCAAGTCAAACTTTCCCAGCAGAAGTTTTTGCTCCAGTTTTGGGTTTTTTTGTTTTTTTTTAATCTGGGCAGAGTTGTGCATTGTGGTGAAGGTTTTCTCCTGCTGTGACAACAGAGCAGGACAGAGCTGCCTGTTAGGGTGAACCTTGGCTCTTTGGGAGCATTTACATCCTCAGTCATGGCACATGCCCTGGTTCATCCCAGCTAAACCCACCACTGCTCCCCCACCAGAGCTTCCCTGGGGTGCTTAAAGTGAGGTCTGGCTTTGTGCATGTCCCTGGGGACAGTGATGCCATTTGGGAGAGGACCCATCCCCCTGGAGCAGCAGATCTGCCCTCACCCGCCTGGCACGGCTGGTTTGTGTCCCCCTGGTCACAAACGCTGTCCCCACAGAGGAATTTGAGCTGTGAGCTCTGAGCTGCACCTGAGCTCCCCGGGGAAGCACGTGGCGGCCGAAAGCAGGGCAGCCCTGGCCGGGCTGGCAGTGCCCCAGCTGTGCTCACAGCTGGCAGAGCACGGGAGAAGTGGGTCACGCGTGGAGCCCGCCGGGAGCCGCCTCCCAAGACGTGATTCAGCAGCTCCAGAGGCCGGGGCTGGGGAGGGGGCAGTGGTGGGGTGGGTGAGAGGTGACCCCCCCTCCCCAGCACATTTTGGGTGGGCACACATACAGTGTGCAGCAGGCTGGGAGCTGCCCCGTTCAGCCTCTGTTTCACCAGTGCCAGCCTGGTGTTCCTGCTCACCTCGCTAGGGAAACTGAGGCAGGAGGGGTTTGCACAGGTGTGGCCAGGGAGAGGGAAGGGCGTGCGTGGCTGTGCATCCTCCTTTGGTGCCACCCCCACGGGCAGAGTGGTGCGAGCAGGTAAATCTCTTTTAAAAGTCGGCTTTTGTGTGGTTGGGTTGTGAGCAGGGACTTGCCTGTGCCTGGTGGCAGAGGGTCTCTCCCTGCTTACCTGCTCCACCCTCTCTCCATCCCTTCAGAGCTGCCGAGAGCAGGGAATTACCTTTTTCCAAGTGGGAAGGGCTGGGGGGGAGCACTTCTGAAATTAATCTGGGGCCTGATCCCGTGCTTCAAGGCTGCAGGCAGGGAGGCAGCAATGCCCACCAAAAGGCAGTGATGGGGGATCTGCAGTGCTGCCATCCTGCAGGAACCCAGCCCAGCTCCCTTTGTCCCTAACCAGCATCCCACCCCTCCACCCCCAGCCTGTCCATGCTTTGCAGGTGGGGAAACTGAGGCACAGAGCTGGGCAGCATGTTCC